TTCTTTCTTTCTTTCTTTCTTTCTTTCTTTCTTTCTTTCTTTCTTTCACTTATTAAAAATTTCCACTTCCTCTCCTTCTCCCATTTCCCTCCAACTCCCCCCACTCTCCCTCCCCTGAGGAAGTTTCTTCATTGAAATATCCTCCTCTCAGATGACTCTAGTTTGTGTCAAGTTGACATAAAACTACCCAGTGGAGTGGACCTTTCTAAACAGAAGACATGTAAGTAACCAATAGGCATATGAAAAAGTAAGGCATATGTTATTCATGTATTCAATCATCAAATATACAAATGGATGCCTGAATAAAGAAAATGTGGCATGTATACATAATGAAATATTTTTCAGTCTTTCAAAGGAAGGAAATCAGGTCTGGAGAGATAGCCCAGTGGTAAAGAGCACTTACTGCTTTGGCAGAGGACTTGGGTTCTGTTACCCAGAACCCACATGGCAGCTCACAACTGCCCATAACTCCAGCTCCTGGGAGTTTGGCATCCTCTTACACATACACATAAATAAAAAAAAGTTAGTCTTAAAAGGCAACCTTAGCCAGGTGTGGTGACACACATTTATGATCCTGCCACTTGGAAGGCTGAAACAGTCCAGGCCAACTAAGGCTATACAGTGAGCTCCAGGCCAACAGGCCTACACATGGGAACTTGTGCCAACTCTCTCTCTGTCTCTCTCTTTCATCATCTACAATAATACATATGAAATTTATGAATCATGGATTAAACTGAGTGTGGTACACAAAGGCAAATATACTATCTTGCTGCACTATCAAAAGACCAAGGCAGTTTCTTTATTCAACCAATGAAAGCAACACATAGACAGAAGAACCTCCTACATCACTATCTTACATGTAGAATCTAAAAATGCCTAGTTCGTAAGAATAGAGTAGAAAGGAAGTTACCAGGGCCTAGCAAGAGATTTTCTTCAAAGGATACAAAATTTCAGCCAAAAAAGGAAAAAGAACAATTGTACAGTATAGTAACTATACTTTTTGTTGTCTGATGTTAAGTTACAGTTTTTTAAGTCTCATTTAAGAAATTCATCATCATCATCATCATCATCATCATCATTATTATTATTATTATTATTATTATTATTGACAGGGCTAAAGGTTTAAACCCATGCTGGGCAAGTATTCCCCAAGGTCAGGGAATCTGTGTTTTGAATAGAAGGTCCAGATAATGCTGACAACTCTAATCTACTTAAGTTAATATTTCCTTAAAATTAAAAATGCTTCCTGTAAGTAGTGGAACAAGCATCTAATCCCAGCACTCATGAGGGGAGCAGGTAGACCCCTGTGAGTTGGAGACCAGCCTTCCCTACAACAAACAGCCAGAGCCACATAGAGAGAGTCTAAACAAATAAACCAATGACAACTGCGAATGAATTCCATTTTAAAAGAAAGAATAAAGCGCCACATCAAGCATGGAAGCACACATACTGAAAAAGTCTTTTATTGGGGCCAGCAGGTAAGGTGCTTTCCCACAAGCCTGGTCACCTGGTTCTCTCCTGGGATGCACTAGGTTGAAGGAGAGAACCAGTTCTTGCAAGCTGTACTCTGACCTCCACACACACACCTGGCATTTGCCTTCACACACATGCAGACAGACAAAGTATTTAAAATAACACACTTTAAAGTCTTCTTCTTGGAAATCCCTAAAATGCACATCAACATACTAAGAACCCTGTGCTGAAAGACAAATCCTCAGCTTCCTCCGAATTTCCTGAACTTGTTTTTTTTTTCTCAGAAGGAATCTTGCTAAGACTCCTCAGAACATCGATGCTGTGGAGCAAAGAGACAGAGAATGCAGTCTGTATGCAAAATGATGAAGGAAACACTTAGAAAAGAAAGCACTATTATTTTCTACGGAGAACACAGTCTAAAGTCACCTGTGATGCTCTCTGTTCCCCAAACAGATATCCATAAGCTGCCTCCCTCTCAAGCAACCCAGGGGTGCTGTACTGAGAAATTCGCTCTGCAGCTCAAAGAGGCCATGGCGGCAGTGCCCAGAGTTCTGAGGACCCTGAAGCCAACACCAGAAGGATGATACCGTATCATTCTTGCTATTGAGCACTCTGTACATGACATTAACAGTTCTCCCAGCAGAAGCAGCCTCTAATAGTAAAATGAAAGTGCATGAAGACAAGAATGAAGGATTTCCCACTCTTCAGAGATGTGGAATATCTACGGGGGGGGGGGGGGAGGTTCCTGGGAAACTCCTAGGCAATACTGAACACCTCACCTCCTTTCTGGCAACAAGAGATAGGAGAGGAAAGCATGAAGGGACTAGACAAGTTAAGGCAAAGCCAGGACTCTGAAAAACGGGTTTAAGTGCTGAATACTTCGAGATACACCACACCGCACCAATCAATTTAAGTCCTTTTTTCCCAATATAAACCTAATTATTTCCATACATCCCTTCTCATCTTGAGGACACCTCTCCATCTGCAAAGATTTCAACAGACTTCATCATGTGTTCTCATGTGCATACATCATGTACTACACACATCTTTTTCTTGTCCTCTCCCGATAGGACAAGAGTCGTTCATCTTGGAAATGTTCGTGAGTGCCCATGCAGGCTCTGTGCTAAGAACTGGAAACACGGCCAAAGAAACAAGAGTTCTCATTCCTGCTGAGCCTTGGATGTGAAGCAATGGATTCCATACCCAGCTTATCCATACATAGAAATCCAATAGCTAGCCATGCAAAGAGGAAGGAAGGACTGAGTCCAAACCCTTATGTTGTGTGGCTGATAGCACAACACAAGCCAAAATATCTGCATTTCAAATGTTCCAGTCTGTCTGACAGTTAAGAGAGTTACCAGTATAGCCTGAAAATGCAGTAACCGTGATTAGAAGAGAGGCAAATGCCAGGATCTTTATTTCCCCAGGATATGAACCCCTGTGGGCTTGTTGCCCAACTAATTTGTAGATTCCCATAATGTGATTTTTAGTCTTAAAAAGTTAATACCAACAGTAGTCACATCCCAATCAATGCAACCTTGCATATCAATTAGCCAAAACCCAAAAATCTTACCAGGCTGAGTAGAATTGGAGTCTAGCCCTAAGAAAGCCAAGAAGATCCTATCTAACATTTTCCTAACACTCCCAAGCATGTAGAATGTATACCACTGGACTCCACAAAATCACAAATAGACAGACCATGAATGACCTCCTCCCATTTTAATCAGATTCATATGTATTAGATATATAGCTGATGGAATTTAGCTATATATTGACGTGGGTGCGATCTAGTTAGTATTCAAAGACAGTGTAAGACTCATACTGTGAAAATTTTATCACCCCTGGACGAAATGGGACAAAAATATCAATAAAAACAAACGTTAAAATTTCGAGGCACTCACCAACACATGTCGGAAATATGTCCTCATTGTTGATCTGGACTTCAATCCAATCCATAAGCAGGTTCATGTACTGGGGAGCTGGTAGTGCAGTTGGCTTCTTATACTTGAGGTCATCCTGCCACCGGTACTCGTATTTGGGACCCCCTGACATCACGGGGCAGGTCCGCTCAGTGCAGAACTCACAGATGGTGCCGTAGATGAGGTTGATGCGATTGAAGAAGTCCACCACATGCACAGCCACCCAGTCATTCTGATCCTCCCCGCTGGGTAACTGCACAGCTGCTCGCAGGTCCACGCCCGAGTTGAGGGATGCCTGAGCTCGTTTATGCAGCTCAAACCTCTGTGTGCCAGGTTCAAACTTCCTCTTGGGCCGGAAGGTCTTGTCCTTGTTGAACACTTGCTTCAAGGCAATAGACATGGTCTCCTCCTTGTCTTCCTTCCTTTTGCAGGAAGCAAAAAGGCACGTGGGACTTTTCAGTGAGAGATCACAGCCCAACAGAGTTTTCCACTGCCAGCCCTCAGGCCCCAGTCTTGCAGCCTGCAGTTTAACTCGATTTTAAATGGCTCCTTCCATCTTCCTCTTAAATGATCTCCAAGGGAACCTCATGTTCCTTTCTAAAGGCGGAAAAGAAAAGGGAACTTATGAGTGCTCAGTTTGCGTGTAAGAACGAACAAAGGCGTAGGAAAATTTCCACCTTACATTCCTGGCTGTGCTTAGTTCCTATGGGTCTAGTATATGAATGCAGAGGTTAAACTATTGCCCCTGCAGGCTGCACTGGTACTGCGAGCTACGTAAACAACAAAAGAAGAAAGGGTGCTACCCTTTTGTTCTGTGTGGTCCCTGTCAAATCTTTGCTGGCTCTTCTCTGTTTGATCCAAAGCTAAGGGCTTTTCCAAGGTGCCAAAAAAAGAGTGTATTGGGCAATGATTCAGTCCTATTGCATGTCTATTCCTTTTTGGAGACTAATGAGTCAGCATAGATTGTCTCTGACTTCACAAAGAGAGACGGTGGGACCAGGTGACTATCATACCAGGAGCCTAAAAGGAACCAGGGGTCTGCTAGATATGCAAGAAGTGGTGAAAGTGGTCAACTTAAGCCCTTGGGGGTCATATATAATGCAGTTAAGAAAGCTGAAGAGAAAAACTGAGAAAGAGACAGAGACAGAGACAGAGAGAAATATGAAAGAAACACGAAGGGAGAACAAAGAGGGGGAGAAAGAGAAAGAATAGGATGGGGGAGAAGGGAGAAGAGGAGGAAGAGGAGGGAAGGAGGGAGAGGAGGAAGAGGAGAGAATGAGGAAAAAGGAGAGGAGGAGAAAGAGGAGAGGAGGAGGAAGAGGAGAGAAGGAGGAAGAAGGGAGAGGAGGAGGAAGAGGAGGAGGGAAGGAGGTACTGCAACAGTGGCTATTGCAACAGAGAAACAAACAGAACACACGCCCAAGTTGCCATGGGGAGAAGAACACAGGAAGAAGAGGCTCCTTTAGCTCCAGGCAATCTAGAAAACCATCCCATTTCTTACCTTTGAAATGCATTTGTTCTCCCAGGATTGGTCGAACAAATCGATTTTAAATTCTGCTGACTTTAAGTTAGCGGTTTCTTTGCCAGGAGCCCTGACTACGACAGCAGTTGTCACCTCTACACAACGCCATCCTTTATGTGCCTAATGCCACTCCCAGGAGCCCTTTGGAACGGAGCTGTTCAGCAGAACTCGCTCATGGCGAGGAACATGTTAGATGCACTTGTGATACAATGTGGTCCCCCACCATCCACACACGCAGTCTTGTACGTAGACAGTGTGACTCGGGAGCGGAATTTTATAATCTACCCTACTTTAATTAACTTAAATTTATTTGACCATGCATGTCTCGTGGGTGCCACAAGGACAGGGAAAACTTGAAAGCCTAATGTTGTCCATTATTTCAGTTGACTCTCAAAACCCTAGCAAGATCTGCAGAGTCAATGGAAGATGTGCAGACTCACAGCAAGTATTCTTCATGGATCCCTAGGTGACAGAATTACCAGCTTGACAATATCCGTGGCTAGCAGGAGGCACAGCCGGCACCAAGTTTGGTTTGTTGGCCCCTTGTAAAGATACTTTCCACATGGCCCCACACCCTGGGCTGTGATGGATTTTATCCTGCCTTTCCTACTGGCTTATGAAGCTCCCTACCCAGAGCTCAGTTCCCGTTCCATTTTATACACACATTCCCCAGAAACTGCCAATAAAGGGTGGGTTGAGGTGAAGGCTGTGTGGGGCTTTGACACAAAAGATTACAATAGGTCCACTTGAACCACAGTAAAGTGACCCCAGAGCTGAGGCCAGCATCAGAAGAGCCGGCACAGAATCCGTCACAGAGCACAAGCTCTCTGAGCTGCTTCTTCACACACAGAAGGGGTTCTGCCACTTCCCACGTCTGAACATGACCTGTTAAGCCATCAATACAGGAAGGAGCTCCTGAGATATCTTTCAAAATTTTAAATTAGCACGCACAGTATTAGGTCCTATCATGGCATTTCCCAACAAAATCAGTTTCTGATATTTCCCCCTGAGAGCTCGGATCCCCTCCGACAAGGCTCTTTGCTCAGTGCGGTCATGGTCCTGCTACCAGGTGCCTCTTCCTGTGCCCGCCACAGCCCAGTACTCAATCCCCTGTCCTCTCCACCCTTCTCCTAATAGCTTTTCCCCGGAATGCCACATCTGGGCAGGAAGCATAGGCTCCCTGCTCCCACACAAAAACAAACAAACAAACAAAAATTCATATGGAAAATATCACGTGACACCCAGCCTGAGATCTTCTATGAAGTCATACTCCAGGATACTCTGATCTATCAACTACATGGCTATCAATACAAAAGTCTTCAAACTCTAGGGTGTGGACAGGTGCAATCTCTCTTTAAATGGCAACCTTCTTGCGTGGGGGGGGGGTCAGGGGAGTTATAAGCTCGGTAGCAGAGCATGTGCCCAGAATGCATAAGGCAGTAGATTGAAGTCCAGGGCCACAGAAAAATGAAGGGAGGGGATGAGAGAGAGAAGCGAGGGAGAGTGGGAAGGAGGGGGGGGGGGGAGAAGGAAGTGAGGGAGGAAGAATGGAAGGTGGGCTCCTTGAAGATTTAGTTTGCCTGAAAAGAGTCTGAAGAAACCTGAACCCCTAAAAAGGTCATTACCAAGATAAATGCAGAAGAGAGGAGTTGGGAGTTAGAGGAGCAATGGAGAGACTTTTTCCTTCTTTTTCCTCACTAAATCAACACCTGTCCCTCTATACAGCACATCAGTGACAGGTGGCACCCTCCCTTTAGCAAAGAAGACTGGCTGGTAACTAGGGGCCTGTCAACTCCCATGGTCCTTAGAACCATCCACTGGTAACAAGGGGCCCATCGAATCCCATGGTCCTTAGGGCCAACCACTGGTAACAAGGGGCCCAACAAATCCCATGGTCCTTAGGGCCATCCTCTTCCCCCGACTCCATGACCCTTAGTACCCCTGCACGCTGCTTGTGTAGTCTGTAGTGTCTACTTTCATGGAAACCATCAACAGAGCTGTCTGACATCCCAGAGGGAAACACATGAATAAGAACTTTCTCAGCCAGGCGGTGGTGGCACACCCCTCTAATCCCACCAGAAGCAGGCAGATCTCTATGAGTCTAAGGTCTACAGAATGAGTTCCAGCAAAGCCAAGGTTACATAGAGACAAGCCTGTCTCCAACCCCCACCCCAAAAGAACTTACGCATTAGTTTCAAGTGATTGCCACAAACATGTCAAAAAAGAGCCAAACCTTGCTAAAATTTTGGGTATGTTTTCTTTATTCCAGTTATATTTAAGCAATCGATTTCAAGATCCCAGTCTCTTTAATTGGAGGGACATTTATCCCAAACTTTAATCAGGTTTAAAATCACTGTCTTGAGGCTAGGGAGATGGATCATTGGGTAAGAGTGCTTTCTAAGCAAGTATGAAGTCTTTAGCTTAGACCCCAAACATCCACTTACAAGTAAGGGTGTGGCCAAGTGCATGAGCAACCCCACCTAGTGCTTCCTGGGTCAGGAGGTAGAGGAGTAGGGTAGCAACAGGAGGATTGCCAGGTTCTGTGAGCCACTGATGGAAAGCAAGCACCGACTTTCTCCTGTGGCCTGTGCAAAGGCATCCATGGGTGTATAAATTCTCTCTCTCTCTCTATGGTCTTTTTTGCCCTCTTGGCACCTTTGATGAAAGAAAAGCACCTATATTTGTTATTATTATTGTTTTTCGAGACAGGGTTCCTTTATGTAGCTCTGGCTGTCCTGGAACTCACTCTGTAGACCTGGGCTGGCCTAGAACTCACAGATATCCGCCTGCTTCTGCCTCCTGTGTACTAGGATCAAATCACCGCCCAGCTGAAGAGAAGCATCTTCGGATGTTTATTTCTAAAGTAAATTCCTGAACTGGACGCTTGCAATTAAACTCCACTCTGCTCTGGATCCTTCACTAACATTTCTAGCTCTTGACTCATTTCTTTGCTGGTGTGGGAGGTCCTTCTGTCAATGTGTTGCTTTCATTGGTTAATGAAAAAAGAAACTGCCTTGGCCTGATGGGGAAGAACTTAGGTAGGCGGGGAAGATGGAACTGAATTCTGGGAGGAAGAAAGCAGAGGCAGGGAGACGCCATGGATCCGCCGCCTGAGTAAAACATGCAGCCACAACTTAGCTGGTAAGCCACTGCCATGTGGCGATACACAGATTACTAGAAATGGGTTAAATTAATGTAAGAGTTAGCCAATAAGAAGTTGGAACTAATGGGTCAAGCAGCGGTTTAATGCATACAGTTTCTGTATGGTTATTTTGGAGCTAAGCTACCTGGGCGCGTGGGATGAACAAGCGGGCCCTCCTCCAGCACTTTGCCCCTGAATGCACACGAAGCTGTTCTCACTGCAGCTCTTTAAAGATCCCACGGACATCTTCAGGTGCACATGGAGCACCTCACATCCAGGATCAGAGGAAGTGCAGAGCATGTGGAGAGCTGGTCTCCTGGCACCGAGGCCACACCATCACACATGCTGATGTGGGCAAGACGTGGGAATGCCTCTGCTGGTTTGATTTTTCATTTACAATGGAGTTGTTCTGAGGAGTTGGCCAGATGAGTTTCCCACATGTAAAGACAAGGCCGGCCCATCGGGACGGATGAGAAAAGATCCATTACACCTCTGACCGCTAAACGAGCGCGTCCATCAACATACTTTTCAAGGTCCCAGAGCTTTGTTGGTGTACAGACCCAAAGGATGGATGTACCCAGCCTTCCTTTCCAACCCCTGTCCACGTGGAGACCCTGCCCATAGTGTATTCTTCCACCCCATTCAATGGTTGCAGCTAGCCAAGCTTCTGATCTCAGATATTTGTGAAACTGTCTTGAGGATCAAAAGTTCAAGGCTAGCCTGAGTAACTTAGCAAGTGCCTGTCTCGAAAGTTTTTATAAAACAAATGAAAGGTTAGAGACGTAACTCAGTGCCAAGGTACTTTCCCAACAAGTACAAAGTCCTGGGTTCAAGCCCCAGCACTCTTATAAAAACCAGACATAGTGCTTATTACACACTAACATGGTGACCTGAGGTTATGTTTAAATACGGATAGATGCTTCAAGGTTTGTA